AATGGCTGGCAGTTAGCGTAGTTTTGTTAATAACAATAATAGCAATTATCATTTACTGAGGTTATGAAAGCTCCATTCAAGTGAAAGTATAAAGCACCTTTCAAAATCACATAAAAATAGTTTAGAGATTATCTGACAGTTTAGATGATCTCATTGCTGTCTTTCATTCATTAGAAGTTGAATGAGTTTGTAAATATTCTTTTTCTAAGTATTCCTATGAAGTAGAGAGGACATAGATTATGGGTATTTCCCTGCTGAGGAAACAAGAGTCAGGGATACCTGACTCACTCGAAGTCATTCCATTGTTAGTCCTGAGGCAAGCTAGAGACGAGAAATTCCAGATGTGTTTACTGTTACAGTTCTAGAAACCATTTTCTATACATAATAGCATTAAAAAAAACCAGGTGGTCATAATGCCCATTCAGCTCAGTCAAGCCCATTCAGCCCACTCAGTTTTGTAATGGGTTTCTGCCAAAATGTTGATACTATTCAAATCTTTGTCAAAGGGAATTCCTTGAACTTCTATTCTTAGAGTCTGAACCATGGCACAGTGATATAAGTAAAATCCGCAATAGATTTCTTTTTTCCTTTGAAGCAAAAACACAAACTTTTTTGTTGGACTCTAGGGTACACTCCCAACCATAACTCCTTCTTCTCGAATGTGCTTGGAATAGAATTTGACAGCTGGAAGTCACTTCTTAGAGTTCAGACTCCCCATGTAACAGATGCAGAAATGGACTGATATGTAAAACAGGTTTAAAGAGGCTTAAAGAAGTGACTTGTCCAAGGCCATGTAATTAGATCCCTGGTAATTAGGGAATTGGAATTCAGGTTTCCTGAGTGGTGCTTGGAGTAAACTGTGTTGCTTCCATTAATTGATGATGTGGTTAGCCTGAGAGCCAGGTAAGTGCAAACATAACTCTCTTGAATTCTTCTGTTTAAGCAAACTGCAAACATCAAGGAGACAATAAAAAAAAAATCTTAGGCTGTAGTAGGATACTTACCTACTGAACCAGCACTATGGATAAGGGTCCTTTTTTGGAAAATCATGGCACAACCCTTTGGGAGCAAGAAAGATCCATTTGTTCATCTGTTGATTCCACGCTGAGCTCTTATTGGATGCCAGCCACATTCTACTAGAATCTGGCAGCACAGTGATGAATAAGACGGTGTCCTTAAGGAGCTTAGCGTTTAGACAAGAAAACCAACATATAAATAAATAATTATTAAAAAAAAACCCAGTGTGATTAGTTTATTCATTCATTTATTCATTCCTTCAGACTTTAATATAGCAGCCAGAGAGATCCTTTTTAAATGTGATTTAGATCATATCACAGTCCTCTGGTGGTTCTCCACTTTACTTGGAGTAAAAGAAGAGTCCTTAGAATAGCTTGTAAGGCTGTGCATGTTTGTTCCACTCTTCAAGACCTCATCCTCTACTACTTGCTTCCTCGATGAGCTCCTTGCTACTTCAACAGCGCTAGGCATGCTACCCTCACTGGGCAATGCACTTCCCTTCAGAAGCTTACATGACTCGTTCTCTTACCTCCTTCAGATGTTAACTCAAACATCAGGTTCTGGGTAAAACATTCCTTGACTACCTTATTTACAGTTGCAGCCGTGGCTCAGCACCTGGAATGCCCATCTCTCTTCCTTGTGCTGTCTTTTTCCATTGCACTTCTAATCTCCTGTATAATTTACTTCTCTGTTTTGTCTGTCTCCCCATTAGAATGTGAACTCCACGAGAACAGGACTTTCTGCTTTGTTTTCTGCTGCACTCTTTGCATCTAGAATAGTGCCTTGCACATGGTAGGCTTCAATCAATATTTGTTCAATGAAAAATTCAACAAACACATAATATCTTCTATTAACAGTGTGCTAGATTAATTATTTGGTGGAAGTAGTGACAAAGTGCAGTGCAGTGGGACTGCAGAGAAGGGAGCAGCTAACCTGGTCTGTGGGATTTGTCAGGGGGGTTTCCTGGAAGAACTGACCATTGTGAGCTGGATTTTGAAGAATCGGTAGGAGGTAGCCAGATGAAGAAGGGTGGATAGGCTTCAGATCCAGCTTGATGAGATAGACTTGCCTTTGTTTGGGCTTTGATTTTCCTTAGGGTATATTAAAATTTCAGTAAACATACTAGGAGTGAAACTTGTTTAGTACCTGAGAAGATTTGAGCATAGATTTTAGTAGCAAAATTGTATAGTTTAGTTTCAGTATCAGTGAAACTGTTCCAAGGGCGTTGGAAATGACCACAAATTTAGTGGCTTCATAGCATCACAGCTGGGTTTCTCTACCTTGGCGTCAGTGATACTGACCTCTGTGGGGGGTAGAGTTCTTTGTCATGGGTGCTGTTCTCTGCATTGTAGGATGTTTAACAGATCTTTGGCACTTATCCACTAGATGCTAACAGTATGACAGCCAGAAATATCTCCAGACATTGCCAAATGTCCCAGGAAGCAAAATTGCCTTCCAGTTGAGAACCACCACATTAGAATCACTGCATTGTTGGGGTCTAGACATTCCTGCCTTTAACAACTTTACAGATGACAGGGAGGGGGAGTCTTAATTCAGTGACCACATTTCTGATGCTAGAATTGGATCAAGAAGTTTGAAATTGGCAGTTCCTTATACATGGTATTCATACAACTAACTGTATTGAAGGTAGAAGTGGAGTGCTTTTAAAGCAGCTGGGACCCTGCAAATTGGAGAAGAGTTCACAGAGGATGCAGTTCTTGAGTTGTACTTCGAAGAATAAGGTTTATAATGGAGAGGGGCACATCTCAGGGGATTATCATTGCCAAATGTGTTCATTTGGACTGTGTTCAGAGAGTTCTGGGAGTTGCCTGCTGGGAAGAAGGGGCAGATGGTAAAACTGTGTTGTAGAGAGAAAATGTGTATGAAGGCAAAGGGGTCTAGGCTGTTTTCCTGTAGTGTGTATCTTCATTTCTCTTGCTACATAACACATTACTACAAACTTAGTGTTTGCTTAAGACATTACAGAATTCTTATCTCTTAGTGGGTTGGGAGTCATGACTTCATCTGGGTTTTCTGCTGAGGGTCTCAACAGGACGATACTAAGCTGTCAGTTGGCTCCAGCCTCATCTGGAGGTTCGACTAGGGAAAGATCTCTTTCCAAGCTCCTTCAGGTTGTTGGTGGAATTCATTTCCTTGTGGCTCTGTAACTGAGGTCCTCATTTTCTTGCTGTCTGTTAACTGGAGCCACTCTCAGCTCCTACAGGCCATTCCCAGGTTCTTGCCATATATTATTCCATAATTTGGCTGTTTGCTTCTTCAAGGTCAGCGGGAAAATCTCTCTTTTCGGTTGCCCAGGATGGCATCTTCTATAACAGAAAGTAATCAAGGGTATAACTTTCCCTACACCTCCCCCCAACACTTTTGCTGTATACTCTGTTGGCTAGGTTTTATCCACACTAAAGGGGTGGGTATGACGTAATTGCATGGTTATCAAGAGACAATTTCTGGAGCCATCTTAGAATTCCGACCGCCATATACAACTTTTAGCTCCTTGAAGGCAATGGCCAAGTCTTTTTTCATTTCTCGCTCAGAATTGTATCTCTGGCGCCTGGCACATAGTAAGTGCCTTATAAATATTTGTCAAATGAATGACATCAGTGAATATTTGGTAGACAGTTGAGTGCTGTTTATGGTTTCAGCTCCTATACTGGTAATTTTATGTTGGGAAGCAGTCTAGTTTCTCTGGCATTATTCATTTCTTCACTCTAGGTAAAATGATAAACATTTTTACCTGAAATATTAAAGTAAAACCTCAAATTATTTGTTTATTATCACAAGCGTCAATCAAATCTATTATGTCAGAGAAACAGCACCCACTGGAAAAATAATTTAGGGCTACACTGCAGCAAACTAGCAGATTTCTTTCTTTTTTTTTTTATTTTTGAAGATTTTACTTATTTATTTGAGAGAGAGGGAGAGAGAGCACCGAGGGAAAGGGAGAAGCAGACTCCCCGCTGAGCAGAGCCTGATGCAGGGCACGATTCCAGGACCCCAAGATCGTGACTTCAGTTAAGGCAGACGCTTACCCGACTGAGCCACCCAGGTACCCCAAACTAGCAGATTGCTTTTAACGACCAGAAATGTTGGCATATTTGGAGTTTTGAGGGTGGTGGGTGGGTAGATTGTCTGAGGTTTCACATCTATTGCTAGCTATTAAACATTTCAAAACATTTTGAAAATACTGATTGTTTTATGGTGTTATTAGTAGTCATAGTTTTTTTTTTTTTTTTTAAAGATTTCATTTTTAGGGGCACCTGGGTGGGTCAGTGGGTTAAGCCTCTGCCTTCGGCTTGGGTCATGATCTCAGGGTCCTGGGTTTGAACCCTGCATTGGGCTTTCTGCTCAGCAGGGAGCCCGCTTCCCCCTCTCTCTCTCTGCCTGCCTCTCTGCCTACTTGTGATCTCTGTCTGTCAAATAAATAAATAAAATCTTTAAAAAAAAAAAAAAAGATTTCATTTTTAAGTAATCTCTACACTCAGTGTGGGGCTCGAACTTCAACCCCAAGATCAAGAGTCGCATGCTTTGCTGACTGAGCCAGTCAGGCGTCCCTGCCGTTGTTCCTCATACTAGTCATGGGAAACATCTATTGAGCAAAATTTAGATCTTGAATTGCCCATTGATAAAGTGCCATTTTGTCTTCACAAAATCAAGTATTTCTGATATCCAAGCCAATATTTCTCCACTAGACCTTGCTGTTTAGACTGGGTTTATGAGATCCCAGTACATGCCAAGGAGCGCTAGAAGCCACAAAGTAAGCATGACCCATATTCCTAGACTATCAATTTTAGTGTTATTTTCAAAGGTAAAACTTTTTTCCTGTTAAAACAAATACAGGTATAGTATATTATAGAATGGAAAATATGAATGAACTGTAAAAGTAAATTTCTTATAGCATTACTTTAGGTGGCTCCTCCAACCTTCTTTCAAACCTTGATTTATGGTCACTCTCCTCTGCCCTTTAGGTGTGTTCGTGGACAGAGAGGCACTATACTGTACCAGGCTCCCTTTAACTGGATCTTGGCAGATGGTAAGATTCGGAGACATTTCAGGTGGAGGTTAGTGGTACAAGAAAAACCAAGGGTCAGGGTCCCTTTGTCCAAAGGAGATATTTTATTATAGGAGGGAAAACCTGGTCTCCTGGTAGGTTGGTAGGGGTCTGGCTGGTCTCAGATGGCCTCAGTTACTTATCAGGAGATCTCAGCAGGATAGCTGGAATGATGGACAACTGAGCCTTTCTACAGGTCAGTTATCCCAAGGTCCTTTTTTTTTTTTTTTTTATTCTTTCCCCCCCCCCCACCCCTGCAAGCTTCTTTCAGTGATTCTCATATGTTACAAAGAAAGTGACAGCAGAAGTTTGCAAGGTCTCTTAAGGCTGAGGTTTAGAAGTTACTTTCATTACATTCTGTTGGTCAAAGTAAATCAGAGGGTGAGGCCAGATTCAAGGGGTAGGGAAATAGACTCTTCTTCTTGATAGGAGGAGCTGTAAAGACTGGCCTTTAAGAAACCCAGCATGTGGGCACCTGGGTGGCTCAGTCCTTAAGCATCTGCCTTCGGCTCAGGTCATGATCCCAGGGTCCTGGGATCAAGTCCCACATCAGGCTCCCCGCTCTGTAGGAAGCCCACTTTTCCCTCTCCCACTCCCCCTGCTTGTGTTCCCTCCCTCGGTGTGTGTCACTCTGTCAAATAAATAAATAAAATCTTAAAAAAAAGAAAAGAAAAAAGAAACCCACCATGTGATCATGGACAAGTTACTTAGTTCCTTTAAGTCTTAGTTTTTTAAATTTGTAAAATGGAGATGATATTAATATCTACCCCTTAAGGTGGTCGTAAGGACGAAATATGTTGTCACATGAACGTACAGCTGATAGTAAGAGTTCAGTAAACATCATCTATTATTCTTCTTGAATGTCTGCCTAATGAAATCCCGGTCATCCCTGGGACCTTCTTCCTTCCTAAAGCCTCTGTAACTTGTCTTTTGGAAAACAGACGTAGTGTCTCATTTGATGGTTAGTATGTATTGCCTTATGTTAGGTTTATACATATATGCAGTGTAGCTCATCTGCTGGAGTTTGTAAGCCTCTGGAAGGTGCAGGCCAACGTTCATCTAATTTTTTGTAGGATTCCCAGTGCCTTACTTGCAATGATGTTTAGTGAATGAATCCCCCTATTATTTAAAAGAAGATACAAGCATTTCTTTTCTGTTGTTTTGGGTCTAACAAGTACTTTTCTGAAAGGAAAAATTAAACTCTCCAGCTATAGAGTCTCACTATTCACTGTTTAATGAAATTAGACATATTCACATGGAGATTTTAATTCTCGAAAGGAACAAAAAACTTAATTTTTGCTGGTCTAAAAAATAAATGAAGATTTCATGTAGAGTTATATTAGAGTTAGAAAAGGATTTAAAAACAATAAAGTATGTTTTATTTTATTAGTCAATTTCAATAATTTTCAAATTCCAGGAGGTATGAACTCTGAACTTTACTAGATCAAAAGATGTCCAAATCTTAATAAAGGGGTCTGTTGGTTTTCATACATGAAAGATTTTGTATATAATAAAAAGCCTTTTGTTTTCCTAAGTTGTGGTCATTCCTTGTTGTGCAAATGTAACACTTTTAAGGAATCCTGTGTAGGAATCAGGTCTGACTTGAAGTTGATGCTAATAGCATGAAGTCGGGGTACAGTGAGTAAAGGTAAAAAAAAAAAAAAAATCTCGCATCTGCTGTTACATGTTGTTAACTCCCTCAGCAGACGTTAAATCATTTCAAGTACAATAATAGTGTGGGAGGTAAATTAACTAACCATTAACAATCTTATAAATACACAATTAACATGCCAACATTTATATGACACATTGATGGGGCAGCAGTAATTTTTGATTGGGAGTTTGCAGACCTTGGAGAAGCCTCAGGCTGTTGCTTATTCAGACAAGTTTTCACAGATTGCAGGTAAGGGGGCTTGAAGTCTGTCTGGCAGAGGGAAGTAGGTATATAGAGTGTTTGAAAATCTAGGAAGGGGAACTTCCTTTTAATCATTGGCTGGACGTGAGCATTTTAAGTCATGTTTAAGACCCATCTCAGGTCCTTAGGGAGTGAAGAAGTATAGGGAGGGCTCATTTGCTCATGCTTGGGTTATCTCAGATATGGACTTTGTTTGCAACTGAAGTTGCATAAATCTCTAGGGGTTTTAAAAAAATGCAAGATGCTTACATGCAACTCAGAATTTAAAGTAAACCTTTCCTCTGTGGTTTCAGGTCAACAAGTAGGTGATCTCTGAAGTTTGTTTCTCTTGTAAAATTTTGTGACTTATTTTTAGACAACCATTATGTGCATTGCTTATTTCTTGCTGTTGTACAAATCACGGTTGCATGAGTCGAGGGAAGGCTAAGGGTCTAGTCTGCTGCGTAACACATTTCCTGTATTGTGTCTTCCATGAAGACCCATTACAGAAATTTCTCTAGGAACCCAGAACCCAGTGAACTCAACAACAGGATCTTTAAAAATCTCATTTATTACGACTGTTATAATTCTTTGTTACTTTTTGTTTGGGGAGGCCTCAGACTTAGTAACTGTCTGGCTTTGGGCAAGTTTTTATTTGCTTCAGTTTTTCCTTCTGTAAAATGGGGATAAAAATATTACCTCCTAGAGTTATTTTGAAAATCCATCTAAAAAAGAAAGAGCAAGCCTAGCTTTTGTAATAAATAAGGTTAGTTATTGTAATTGCTTTTTGCTTCTGAGATTCTACAGTCTTCCTGTGGCAAATGTACAAGATCTTACAACATTTGTCCAGAGTTCCTTACCCTTTGCCACTTCGCTCATCTACTTTTTTACTATGTTGTATCTTGTGTTTTTCTATAACCCTTTGCAAACAAAGTTTGGAGAATGTATATGTATGAAGCTATTATTAAAAATATACTTGTATTGTATAGACTTGATAGCATTAAAACCTACTAAAAATTTACTCCCCTGTATAGGGCATGTTCCAAGTTAACACAGGCGAGTTACATGGTTATTAATGCACACAAATGGTCACGTAAAGTGGTAATAACATCTAGATTGCACCTGGAACAACACTTAGCACATAGTAGGAACTTCATAAATATTTGTTGAATGAATGAATGAAGTATAAAAGGAGACCCACCCAGTACATTTAAAATGGCTGTGTCACTTTGGGATATCTCATGTCCTCCAACTCTGTGTGGATGTCCCTTTTGCTTTCATTTTTGCAAAACAAATGTCTATGCTTTGAAAGGAACCTGTAGTTAAAAAGTGGGAGAATCTGTGAAAAGTAGGACATCTTGGGGAACAGACCTCCTGGGAGCTGAAATTGTTTATCTAGGTAGCCTAAAGCTATATAAAAAGGACCAGTTATCTCCAAGTCAAGAATTGGTAACATTCAGGGAAGATGTTCAGGGCCCAAATAAACTGTATTTCTAAAAATGTAAAGTAGCATTTCTAAACCATGTTCTGTGAATCTCTCTCTCTCTCCCTCTCTCTTTTTTTAAAAGATCTATTATATTTGAGAGACGGAGATAATGAGAGAGAGCAGGAGCGGGAAGGAAAGGGAGAAGCAGGCTTGCTGCTCAGCAGGGGCTCGATGCAGGGCTGGATCCCAGGACACTGGGATCGTGGCCTGATCCTAAGGCAGACGCTTAGCTGACTGAGCCCCTGTGAATCTCTTATACATTGATAGGTGTTATTGTAGGAAAAAATGTTTAAGGATCAGATAAATTTGGGATTTGGGATGTCTTCACTCTTAGAGATTCACACTATACATTAGTTATTTAAAAGCATTGGGAAGTCTGTAATTAAATAGCAAGAAGAAAACTTATTTAATTTTGTTTAATGTGGCATTTCTTAGACATTTTTAAAAAATTTTAAAAATTGTAATATATAGCAAAATTGACCATTTTAGCCATTTTTAAGAGTATAGTTCAATGACATTAAGTATATTCACATTGTAGTGCAACCATCACCACCATCAGTCTCCAGAACTTTTTCATCTTCCCAAATTTAAACATGCTTTAAAAATACTCCACATTCACCTCTCCCTCCAGCCCCTGGCATCTGCCATTCTGCTTTCTGTCTCTATGAATCTGACTATTCTAGGTGCTTCATATAAGTGGAATCATATACTTTGTCTTTTTTGTGACTTATTTCATTGAGCATAATCTCCTCAGGGTTCATCCATGTTGTGGCATGTGTCAGAATTTTCTTCCTTTTTAAGGCTGAAGAACATCCTGTTGTACGTATATACCACATTTTGTTTATCCATTCTCTACCAGCTATTTTTAATGACTGTGTAGTATTCTGTTACTTGCATGTGTTGTGACATACTCATTACTGATGGATGTTTAGGTTACTTTCAGACTTTCAGTATAATAAATAATCCTGAGATAAATATTTTTGCGTAGTCATCTCCTAAGGGAAAATCCTGCAAGTAGGGTTGCCCAGAAGGTACTCATACTTTGATAGATGATACCACATTACCCTCTAAAAAGTCTCAATTTTAATTCATTTTTACAGTGCATGGGAGGACTCATTTCTCTGAACCCTGCCAATGTTATATTTTAAAAATCTTTGATCTTTGCACAACTGATTAGAGAGAATAACTTGTTTTCATCTGTGTTTGGAATATCTTTGTCTTAGAAATCAAATCTACCTTCAAATGATAATTCGCTGCTCTTAAAGTGATTTTGGTTCTGAAATGTAGTGTTGGGGTAAGTTGACGGTGTCCCAACGTGACAGGTCTGGTTTTGTTTTGTTTTGTTTTTAAGGATTTTATTTGTTTGTTAGAAAGGCTCCATCTGAGTACCCTGGGGTCATGACCTGAGCTGAAGGCAGACACTTAACCAACTGAGCCGCCCAGATGTCCCCCAAGGTGACAGTTTTGAAAGGCACATTGAAGAGAGTCTCTTGTATCTGTATTAATGGAAAAGCAATCCTTTCTTTATAATCATACTATATATGACATATTCAAAGATGACTTATCTCTACAACAAAATTATATTGTCTTTGGAAGTCAGACAGCAACTGTTACTGAATTTTTTCCTTGGGTAAGATGCTTGTTGCGAGAAGGGATGTGGTGTTGTGTCTCCTGTCCTTTTGGAACTTACAGCCTAAGTCTTCAAATACATGTCATGGTAGGTGGAAGGCACACTTCCCAGGGCAGACTTCTTGGAATTCTCTATGAGAACTGGTATTGGATAATACTTGTTGAGTGAATCCTACAGATTCCTCATTGTATGAAGTCACAGTATACCAATAGAGAAGATATCTGCTCCTGTTGGGGATTTTGGGACCTCTGTTCCACAGGGGTAAAGTTAGGGACTTCGTATGTGCCTTCAGAAGTATTTGCCCATAACTCTTTTCTTCATAAGGGGTGATGGAGCAGATCTATTTTCCTAAAAAAATACACACACACACACACACACACACACACACACACACACACACACACACTCTCTCTCTCTCTCTCTCTCTCTCTCTCTCTCTCTGATTCTCTTGAGGGTACTCAAGTATACTTTTGTTGCTTTGCCCTTTGCCATTTGACTTGTTAGTGCCAGAACACCCACTAAATGTGTTGCCTCTCGCTCAAGCCCTTGTTTTTTGCAAGGGATAGTTACTCAGTATGAAATTGAAAGCACCTGTCCTTTGCTAGTGACTAGCGCCTTACTCTCCTGGAGGAGACACTGTGATTGCTATGAGGATGTCGGCAGTTTTGACCATCTGTGATGTTCTGATTTTGTTACAAAACAAATATTCTCATTTATAAGTAATTCCATGATTGTATACAACTCTTTGTGGTTTTATAAGTAATTCTTATTTTTACAGGTGAAATTTAAATGCTCCCCTGTGATTCTGTAATGTTTTTCTGATTAATACGCTTAAAATGGTAGGCTGACATTAATATTTCTGAGACTTGGAGGGATCTCATTGTATTAGGAAATACACCAGGACAGTATTAGGTTCTAAACTTAAAAAAAAAAGATTTACTTATTTGTCAGAGAGAGAGCAAGCACAAGCAGGGGGAGCGGCAGGCAGAGGGAGAAGCAGGCTCCCCACTGAGCAAGGAGCCCGATGCAGACTCAGTCCCAGGACCCTGGGATCGTGGCCTGAGCCCAAGGCAGATGTTTAACTAACTGAGCCCCCCAGGCATCCCTAGGTTATAAACTTTTTGATTCAGGGGTGCCTTACCTTGGCATTTCCCATTAGCCTCAGTGTAAAATAATGACTCACTAAATATATTTGAAGGAAAAAATGAAGATTAGTGTAATTCATTTGATTAGAGATGTTCCTCAATTAAACTTTCTCTTAATCTCAGTATCTTTATTTTAAGATCTACCAAGTGATGTCAGTAGACTGTTACTAGACAAAAATTTTTAAAAACCTCTGTTGGTTATAATGATTTATTGGCTAGATTTCCCACTATGTTCCATTTCTAGAAGAAACAAATGACAAGAAAATCTAGTGTTGTAGGTCTTTCTAAAAATAAAACTTTCTGGGACTGTTCTGGGGACATAATCATTCCAGCTTTCATGTTCCTTGCATCTCATAATGATTTTAGAGGAGGAGAAAGGTGACCCAGGTGACATGCAGAGTCCTCTGTCAGAAAGGAAGCACACATTATTTTACGTGCTGTGCACTTACTAAAAAAGGATGAATATTGATATATTTTAGGATTATTTTAAATAAGAATTGAAAGCTGAAGTTAGCAGTGATTATTTTTACCATCATCTTTGTTATTATTAATTGCAGCCAATATTTAATTATGTGTCAGGTGCTCTTTTGAGCACTTTCCCTAAATTACCTTATATATCCTCTCATTCCTGGAATTCCGTTTCATTAATGAAGAAAGAAAACAGCCTCAAAGAGGTTAAGGTTATTTTTTTTTAAGATTTTATTTATTTATTTGACAGAGAGAGCTCGCAAGTAGAGAGGCAGGCAGAGAGAGAGGGGGGAAGCAGGCTCCCTGCTGAGCAGAGAGCCCGACGTAGGGCTCGATCCCAGGACCCTGGGATCATGACCCGAGCCGAAAGCAGAGGCCTTAACCCACTGAGCCACCCAGGCGCCCCGGTTAAGGTTATTTTGACTGAAATCACATAGCCAGCAAGTGGTAGGGTGAGGATTTGAACCCAGTTTGACCTGTAGGTCCTTATCCTGACCAGTGTCCTCTAATACAGTAGCCCCCCCTCATCTGCAGGGGGTGCACTCTAAGACTTGCAGTTGATGCCTGAAACCATGGATGGTACCAAACCCCATGTGTACTATTGTTTCTCCTATATATACCTAGCTACGATAAAATTTAATTTTCGAATTAGACACAGTAAGAGATTAACAACAACAATAATAAAACAGAACAATTACAACAATATACTGGAATAAAAGTTATGTGAATGTAGTCTCTCAGAATATCTTATTATACCACGATCAGTGTTCTTGTGATGATGTGAGGTGATAAAATGCCTACATGATGAGACAAAGTGAGGTGAATAACATAGGTATTGTGACATAGCATTAGGCTTCTAATCTATTTTCTTAAAGATTTTATTTATTTGACAGAGAGAGAGCACAAGCAGGGGGAGGGTTAGAGGGAGAGGAAGAAGCAAGTTCCCCACTGAGAGGGGAACCCAATTCGGGACTTGATCCCAGGACCCTGGGATCAGGACCTGAGCCAAAAACAGACACTTAATCTACTGAGCCACCCAGGCTTCCTAGGCTACTATTATTGACCTGATGATACATCAGAAGGAGAATCATCTGCTGTTGGACGTCTGTTGATCACGAGTAACTGAAATTGCAGAAAATGAAACCACAGATGAGGGGAGACTGCCATATTTTCTTTTTTGAATATTCCCATTAAACTGAGGAGGTACCTCAGTTTCCAGAATAAACATCATATTGTTTCCAGAATAAACATCATTTTAGTTTCAGCAGGATTAGGGAAGCAGTTCTTACGTTGAGGTTTCTAAGAAACTAATTTGGTAGCAGAGAAGTTTGATTAATAAAGTAAAATGCTAGGGCACCCGGGTGGCTCAGTCAGTTACACATCCTACTGTTAATATCGGCTCAGGCCATTGTCTCAGGGTCCTGAGATCGAGCCCTATACCAGGCTCTGCACTGGGCGTGGAGCCTGCTTGAGATTCTCTCTCTCCCTCTGCCCCACCCTGCCCCTCTTAAATGAAATGAAATAAAATAAAAGCATAATACTATCTTAAACCAGAAAAAAGGAAAATGTATTTATTGAACAAAATTACTTTGGTGGTTCATTTTTATTAATTCCTAGTAACTGAAGTATTGTCTGTGTTCTTTTAGTTACCTCACAGCCATATGACAAAGGGGGAAATGTAAACGAAAGAAGTACAGGTTCACACTTTTGCACATAATTTGAGGAAAATACAACTTGTTTCCCCATGACCTTATAAAGTAATGAGGAGACTGAATGGAGTTGAAGGGAGAAAGAAAGGAAAATTTATTGTTTTTTAACAGTAATTATGTGCTTTGAGTGGCCTAAGGAGTCACTATTACTTGTTTTGCAAGAGAGGAAGCCATCCTCTCTGATACCATGGAGATCTCATTGACTAGAGCTGTAGCCCCTAGTGCTTATAAGGATTTCCTTTCAGCCTAGATTTAATCCTCGTAAGCTCCTAGGTACAGGGATAAATGTTGATTTTCAAGGTACCATTTTACTAATTTGAATTTGTTTGAAAAATGATTCAGTCATTTTCTTCCTCATTCTTAAATATTGCTGTGTACATCATGTTTCTAGGGAGGTGAGCACGTGAAACAATATGAAGAGGAGAAAATAGCCTTTTAAGGAAATTGGCCCACAGAAAGGATGGCCTTCTTGGACAATCCAACTATCATTCTAGCTCATATTCGACAGTCACATGTGACCAGTGATGACACAGGAATGTGTGAGATGGTTCTCATTGATCATGATGTTGACCTAGAGAAGATTCATCCTCCTTCAATGCCTGGAGACAGTGGGTCAGAAATTCAGGGAAGCAATGGTGAGACTCAGGGCTATGTATATGCCCAGTCAGTTGATATTACCTCAAGTTGGGACTTTGGTATTAGAAGACGCTCAAATACAGGTAAACATTGCCTTTTAGTCATGTCTTCTGAACTTTAAATCAGTCAATAATCTTGCAGAACAATGCATAATGTTGGAATAGGTTTAGTGGGGAAAGTTTCTGTGTATTAACAGGAACATGATTAAACAACATCTCCCTCTCTCTGAATGGAGAGTGCCTCTGGAATGATGCTACTAGAAGGAAGTAGAAGACGAACAGATGAAAAAGGTGACTCCCGAGAAGCATGTTGGATGTTCTGTTTCTAAAACGTCCTCATGTAGAAAGGGAAGTAGACTTATTTTGAGTATCTTCACAGAGCAACATTAGTCCCAGTGGGTAGACTACCTGGTGGCAGTTTTCAGGTTGACAAAATAAAGAACCTTTAATTCAGAGAGCTGACCAGCCAAGGAGTGCTGCTGCTGGAGCCTTTTCTTGGCCCTGGAGGGATTGGGGGGAGCTGGGCGGGGGATTGGAGGTAAACACCTGAATATTTGTTAGGACTGCTGTTAATAGGAATTCCTACACTGGGTGTGAGACTAGAAAAGATGCCCCTGTTTTTAGTATATTATCTTTATTAAGTTGCTCTCTACCCTTTGATCTTTGTGCTTGAAAATGCTAAACTTTGGTACGTACATATTCAGTCATTAGCTTTTAAAAGCTTATCATTACCTATTTTCTAGCTTATGTGTTTTGGAAACCTTTCAAGGCGAATGTGATGAACCAAGGCCTTTACTTAGATAAATTATTTAGAATATGTAATGTAGTTCTAATATGACAGGGTGTGCTAGGAGGTGATTTTTATTACATAATCAGAAAATAAAATCTCTGCTAATCAGTAGCAGTAACCTGCTAACTTCCAGGAAAAGTAATGACAGGAGATGTGGTAGAACATTGAAAATATTTGCATGTTTATATTTGTGGTCCAAATGTAAAATGCACATAAAGGAGTACTGCAGGATACAATATACAATGCAAGGCATGTTAAGGTTTTGGTTCAGAATTCAGCATTCTGTGACATCTCCAAAGAATAATTTGCTCTCATGATGATAATAATTAATAGCATTTCCCAGTATCTCAAGGAACTTTTATCAAAATAGGGTTTGAGTGAAGGTTTGAATATAATTTAGAACCATTGATTCTCAGTTCTCTAGTTGAAACTGACTTCCTTGCAAGTTATTGAGATGATATCTTATATGACAGGTTGAATGGATTCCAGTAGGAGAATGCTGCTAAATTGAGAGTTTTATGATTATATTACTTTGGCTGTTCCCTTCACATTTATTAATTGCAGTTGAATGTATTTTCCTTCAATGGCGTTTGGTTCGAATGTGACATTGTCAGAATGCTTTTGCTGGCACAGTTTACATTTATGGCAAGATTAGTTTCAGTGTTTCCCTACCACAATGCTAAGGTGAGAGTATATGATTTTCTACATTGCAAGAGGTTGAAAGAGAAATTTACTTATTTATTTTTTGTTACCATTGTGCCAGGAAAGGAAGTTGAAGATTAGCCAGAGGAAACTAATCTCAAGAAATGGTATCAGTTATGACTTTCTTTTCCATTGTGGTTTCCATATGCAGTAGTTGTTAATATATGCTAACCAGTATTTCTTTAAAAGATCAGTTCACTGATTTTTGGAGGTTGATCAGCCAGTGGTAATATAATCTCACAAATGCATGATTTTAGGTGATGCTTTTGTTATTGTTGTTGGAATTTCTTAAGATAGCACTTAGATGCTAATAATTACAATTGTGGTGTGTCCTAGTGACCAAAGAATTTACTTTTTAATCCTTTCAGCAAAATCTTAAAATTTTGTATAAGAAAAATTATTCTTTTTAAGATTTGACTAATGTTACAAAGATACAAATCATTTATTTTACTACCTATAAACTGTTTCAGCCCACTGAAGAAAAGCTATGCTAATTTATATAGCTTTGACATTTTATAATTTTCATGATTTTTAGATAAAGGATTTTATATTTAAAACTTTAATAGTCTAGTCTGAGTTCATTTATCTTTAATTTTTGAAACGGGTAGAGTAATTCATAACAGTAATTTTATTCCTGTAATGTAATATTCACTTCAGTTCATTTGTGCATTAAAATTCCTTTAAGACCGTTATTAATGATTTATATAATGAAATGTCATATTAATCACAGAAGTTTTCACATTTTATTATTCTCTTCCATGTTAATACTATCTTTATGATCTCTATTAATGTTTTATATCCTCTAATTTCAATTATAAATCAAGAATATTTTCGTGTTTTTGTTGGTATTTGCTTTTCAGGGGTGCCACCTTTAAAATTTTATGACTTTTTCCCTACATATGCAATATAAAACATCTTTATTCATATAAAGGTAGTTAATTATGTCTTTGTTTATAGTAAACTTTCATTGACAAACTTATAGTTATAATATTTCTTTTCAAGCTCAAAGATTAGAACGACTCCGAAAAGAGAGACAAAACCAGATCAAATGCAAAAATATTCAGTGGAAAGAAAGAAATTCTAAGCAATCAGGTAAATGGCAATAATTTTAATTGTTAATTTGAGATTTATATATTTAGTTTATATTATTAAGTAAGAGCTTTTATTTTTTAATTCATCTTTTTAAATCCTCTGAGCAGATACCTCTTGTGTTTTGAGCTTTGAATGCTTTCACTTGGGTGCCTTGGACCTTTGACGCCATGTGTTCTTTAGGTCTTGTGTTTTTGGTCACTCTTCATTCTGGGTCATAGGAATTGGTGTGTGCAAGGCACATTTTGTACAAACTCTCATGCCAGTACCTGGTTCTTAGCGCCAGGGAATACCTGTGGTTTGGGTGGGCCTCTGGGTTATAGATTCCTCCTGGCAGTTCCAGCCTAGACTTTCCCTTGCCTCATTAGTGGCCACAATAATAATCAGCATATGCGCTGATTCTTTTCCTTTAGTTTAACAAGCATTATGGTGCTGGTATTATCAGCATTTGTGGTTTATGTTCATATGGTATACGTATTAAAAAGCTGGCCATATTACATATTTTCAAATCTTCAATCTCAACAAGAAGAGAAAATTAAAAACAAAACAAAACAAAATGCTATTGAAGTTTTTCCTAATGTTTATATCATGTGTCCTAGATTTTCTCTTTTTTTCTCCTTTTAAAGAAATGTCTGCACTTTGTCTTCTATGTCTTCCAGCACCTACTACCACGCTGGCACGTAATAGATGTCCAATTAATTTTCGTTGACTGACTCCTTTGCTACATACTACTTATAAAACTAACAATATTAATGACTGTTACATTAACATCAGCACCTACCTAGTGCTGTTCTAAGCACTTTATGCACATTACCTCCAATGTAGTGATCTTACAAGGTATAGCTATTGCTTTTGTTAACAGATGAGACAGAAACTCAGCTTTAACTTGCTGAAGTGATAAGCCCAGAAAGTGGTAGTGCAGTAGAGCCATATTGTGTATCTAGCTCTATCTGTGGCTAAAGGCCAATCTCTTTCTGAGAAAGAAACTATATAAAGTGGTTATTGCTTTTTTCCTGCTGTGGTTGTAAACCACAATGGGTGTGCTCAATGGGTGTGATTTTCTTAATGAAATGACAACTGTATAGAACCAGAAATCTGATTCACTTCTTTCTTACGTCTCATTTCCGCAACTTCCTATAGTTCTCCTTGAATATCTATTTAGTTTTGCTCTTGATACTTTAAAAATCTCTCTAGGCTGGCCTTTTCTGTTGATCCAGTTAATACTTCTCTCTTGTATTTATCACAACTGAAAACCTTTATATTGTTTATCTTGTCCTCTTCCTTCAAATTTTTCACGTATCTAATGCCTTTTCTATTCATCTTTTCCTAATGAATATAGAGCCAGTTTATCTAAACTCATCTCTCCAGTTACCCTTTGTTTTGCCTTCTTCACTTCCTTATCTTAAGACAATTACAAATAAATAGGATGAGTAGAGCACCTCAGATCTAACTGCATTAATCCCCTTTACCACCATGGCAAGTTCTTCAACTTAAATTTTGATACATCTCCCACTTACTCCTTAAAGTCTAATCCACTTTAACTTCTGTTCAGTGTTTCACAGAATGTGCTAGAGAAATAAATGGCCTCCTTTTTGCTTTCATTTGGAGCCATACTGTTCATTATTTGTGTATACTTCTCTCTCCCTCAGTTTCCATCCCTCTTATTTCCGTCTCTCACAGATTTCAGTAATTGACCCTGTGATCTTACTGCTGGAAAAGCTCCTTCTTAATATACTTGTCCACCCTTCGAGATGTTGACCTTGAACCAGCCCAGTGAACCTCATCAATGCACAGAGGAATGGTTTTGAATTCTTTGTTCAGCTGGGTTCCATCATTACCACAGGTTGGCACTCTTGGTGTCCTGAAATGTGTTAGAAAAGTGGAGTCAGCAGCAGTCCAGTAAACACTGTTTTCATGTCACTCTGTTTTCATGCAAGTCTCAAGCACATACTCTGTTTTTGCAAGAAATGCTACAGCCAGATCCTTTCGATCTTCATTGGGAATTTTGGTTAGATAATCGTTTATTCATTCTCTCATTCTTTTTCTGCTCTTTATATTTCGTTAAAAATTTTTAAATCTGGGATGCCTGGGGGGCTGAGTTGGTTAAGCATCTGCCTTCGGTTTAGATCATGATCCCAGCGTCCTGGGATCGAGTCCCACATTGGGCTCCTTGCTCAGCAGGGAGCCTACTACTCCCTCTGCCTCTGCCTGCCACTCTGTCTGCCTGTGCTCACTCTCTCTGACAAATAAATAAATAAAATCTTTAAAAAATTTTTTAAAAAAATCTGTTCTTATTTTTTATTTTATTCCCTACTAGAAAAATCATTATTATGAATGTGATGACCTCCCCTGCAATGTTCTTCTGCATCCCGTCCATCCTTAAGATATAGCAGAAATGCAGTCTTTTCATAGAAAGTTGGAAGGGATCCGAGAAGCTGTCTGGTCCATACCCTGAAGTTCTCTATGAACTTACTGAGATCACATGATAAAGGGAATATCTTAGAGTAAGATCCTTGTAGTATTTCTGTAGCCACAGCTGGATGGGTAAATGTGAAGGTGGTCGTTGGAAGACAGCTTTGTCAGAAACAATGTCAAATCAAGCCCTGGCATATATATATACTCACGTGTGTGTGTGTGTGTGTGTGTGTCTATACACATACACACATAAATATGTATATAAAATCTTAAAATATATATATTTTTAGGTGTATGTATAATATATATGTATATATATTTTAAGATTTTATTTATTTTTTAAGTAATCTCTACATCCAATGTGGGACTTGAACTCATGACCCCAAGATCAAGAGTTGCATGCTCTTCTGACTGAGCCAGCCCAGTGACCCAAGCCTCGGTATTTTTAATTTTATTGTTTTGAAATTGTGTTGGTATATTCTTTGCAAAATTTATTATTACTCTTATTCATTGAGTCATTTAACAAGTGTTTCTTCCATACCTTCTGTGTGCATAGTAATTCTGTGCTAGGTGCTTGGGGATTACGTGATTCCTGCCCTCAAGAAATCTGGTCTAGTGAGAAGAAAAAGCTATTTACACAAGAAGTTAAATAGTAACTCAAGAACAGTGTAGTGTGTATATCAGTTATTTATGATATTCCTGAAGTTTTCTTTGTGTATCCTCTAGTATTGGTTTCTTAAACCAGCAGTTCCTAGAAACAGTGACTGTAAAAATCAGAAATGCATCCAAAAGCGTATGTTATAATGGTTTCCATGTAAATTTCTAGCCCTACCTGTGGAATTCCTAATTCAAAAGATAAAGATCAGGGTCCATAAGTCTATATTTTTCAGAAGCTCCCTGGGTGTTTCTTATGAGTAACCAGCGCTGGGGATCACGGGCATATTAAGTATGCCAGCCCATAAGTTTGCTTCCTCTTCATGCAAATCCAGCAACTTAGCTGTTAATACTTCTGTATTATATGTGAGGAAACTGTAACCCAGAGGCTAAGTAACTTTTTTAAGTTACTTACAAGTAGTAAGTGGCAAAGCCAGAATTCTTCTTCTGGCCAGTCATACCCCAGACACTGTAGTCTTTCTACTCACCTCCATTCTGCCATACTGTTGGCAGAAGGGAGCTGCTCCTGGACTCTCGGTATTGAGGAGGCTTTGTGTTCCCTTACTCCTTTCCTCCTCTGTGTCAGCGGTGGCTAGGGTTTAGGAAGGTTGCCAAGGCCTCTATATTAAAAGAAAATTTCAGGGTCGCCTGGGTGGCTCAGTGGGTTAGGCCGCTTCCTTCGGCTCAGGTCATGATCTCAGGGTCCTGGGATCGAGTCCTGCGTCGGGCTCTCTGCTCGGCGGGGAGCCTGCTTCCCTCTCTCTCTCTCTCTCTCTCTGCCTGCCTCTCTGTCTACTTGTGATCTCTCTCTGTCAAATAAATAAATAAAATCTTTAAAAAAAAAAAAAAAAAGAAAATTTCATTACAGGAAATCTGAAAGAAAATATAAAAATGAAAACAAGCAACCAATATTCTCACATTCAGAGGAACTGGTGTTGTTAACATTTTGATACATTTTTTTCTAGATTCTATTTACATAGGTATATATATTTTAAATATTCTAAACATACCTCTTATGATCTTTTTTGTATGTACAAATAGTACATAAATGCAACGTTTTGTCTTGTCTCCGTATTGTCCCTGCACTTTTACATTTCTTATTAAGGTTATTTCCAGATGTTTTGTATTTTGTGCTATCCTTACAATTAACGTCTTCTTCCCCAAAACTTTTGTTACTGCTCTTGTGAAGAAATCTGTTGTCTTTATCTATTTGTTTTGTATCCAGCCACTCACTGAATCCTTACTAGTTCTAATATACATTCCATATTCCTGAATGCTACTGTATGTGCTTTCTCATAAGCCTGATGATAATTAAATTTCTAGACCATTGTTTTTTCAGTTCTCTGTGTGTTGGGGACTCCCAACTGATTGTATTGTTCAGAACCCTTCAGCTGCCAATGACATAGAGCAAGTGAAGTTGAAGAGCAGCTTGAAGTTGAGCAACTCAGGAGGTACAGCTGTGCCTTATGAATGGCTTGGAACCAGGAGGAAGGGCTCTCATTACCAGCCCCCATCTCATTTCTGCTTTTTTGTGCTCATTTGCTCTCTCCTTCCTCCCTCTTTTCTGCCTCCCTATCCTGGCAGCTCGCTCGGCTTTCTTTCTTTCTTTCTTTCTTTCTTTCTTTCTTTCTTTCTTTCTTTCTTTTTTTCTTTTTAATTAACATAAAATGTATTATTTGCCCCAGGGGTATAGGTCTGTGAATCATCAGGCTTAACACATTTCGCAGCACTCACCATAGCACACATCCTCCCCAATGTCCATAACCCAGCAAGCCTATCCTTATTCGCCATCCCCCAGCAACCCTCAATTTTTTTCCTGAGATTAAGAATCTCTTATAGTTTGTCTCCCTCTCAATCCCATCTTACTTCATTTTTTCCCTCCCTAGCACCCAAGACCCCCCACCCTGCCTCTCAAATTCTTCATATCAGAGAGA